GTGTACCGTCAGATCAGATCTGACTGGTACAGGAGGAGATTGTCCCTCCTTCCCTGGCAGAGCATCTGGTGGATTCGAACCGTTCACCTCTGGGATTGTAGTTGCAGCTCCTTGCCACTAGGCCACCAGAGCTCCCCTTATTTTTATTTTTTATTCTTATTACTAAATTTTGGCTTTCTTCTCTCTTCCCAAGGGACTTCTGATGGTGTCATGTGTTGAAGTTGTCCTGCTTTCCCTAAAACCACGCCTCACCGGCAATGCACGTCCGGCATTTACTGTGATAAATGGACAATCTCCTCCTTGTAAGTCCTTCACAGACGCCTAAAGCCCTTGAAGGGTCAGCCAGGAATGACAATTCCAACACATGACACCATCAGAAGTCCCTTTGGAAGACAGAAGAAAGCTAAATTTAGTAATAAGAATAAAAAGAAAATCAAATAAAAAGAATAAAAATAAATATTTTCATATTCTGATGGTAGGGGACAGAGAGGGGTATTGGACACAACAGACGGGGACTCTTGTCTGTCCCCCACCATCCCATCCCCTCTCTCTGTGACACCCCCTCTCCAGACCACCTGTTAGTTCAGGACAAAATGCACACAACTTCACTCAATGAAAGGGAAGCCAAGGACATGGGTCCCCGTCTGTGTGTCCAATATGGTCACTCTGAGTCCTGCTTGACCTTTTGTCTCCTCTCAACAAGAAGCCCACCATCAAAACCACAGAGCTTGGGACCCTCAGGACACCCATTCACCTCATAACAAATACATTACCTTCTTGCCAGAAACAAACAAACTTCTTGAGTCATCAACTATCTTATCTTAAGGGAAAAAAAAAGATCAACCAACAACTTCCTCAATTTTGGTGTTTTTGTGTCAACCTTCAGGAATGTTTTTTTTTACTTACAGGATCAAAAAAGAGGAATTTTTTTTGTAAACAAGCAGGGGATTGAAACGAGGCCTTGGTTGCACAATGTCTCCTAGTGACCCTATGGACAGGAGATCAGAGCCCTGGCTGCGGTCACTATGTCCATCCATCGTGTGGACAGGAAAAGGACAGTTGCTCATAATATTTACCAAGGAGAAACCTTCCTTTAAAGCCGTCTATTTTTTATTCTGCCATCTGTCCTGCTTTCCAACGCGTAGAAAGTCATTGCAAAGACCACAGCCTGCATCAGGCGCACCTTAGTCTCCAGACTGACATCGTTGCTCTTCAGCACTTTGGAGAAGTCCCTGATCACAGACATTCCCAATGCAATTCGTCTTTTCATGTCCTGCTGGCTGTTGGTACAATGAGTATTGATTGTGGAGCCAAGCAAACGAAAGGTGTTCAAACAATCTCAATCTTTTCTCCATCTGCTGCCAATGGGCCCAGTGGTGAAAAAAAAATCTTTATTTTCTTGATGTTGAGCTTCAATGCATATTCAAGGCTGCAGTCCTTGACATTCTGCAGCCACTTATACTTACGCTGAAGGCTGTTTTCCTGCAAGGCTGAATCCTTTTGTGAATGCACCTACTAGAGTGGGTTTAGAGAGATTTATATTTTGCAAAAGTTGTGTTTCCTTTAAAAAAGAGAGTTTTGACAAGTGGAATATTTAGTTGATGCTGCTGTTTTTGTGTGTTAATTCCAGTGTGCTTGGGGCAGATTTCTCTAGCCCTGAAGGATGAGCATCAAAGAAATTTTAACTGAAATCTCAGCCACATACAGAGACCAGGAGAGAGAAATGTGAATCCTGGCATTTCGGTTCTAAAATAAAATTTAGTTTGCGCGCTGGAGTGAAGAAGAAAGGGGCTGTGCAATCTTTCCTTCGACACACAGAGATGGTGAATTATTGGAATTGATGTGATAAAAGAAAAGATGTGTGTAAATGATGGAATTAACAAGAAATTTCACACCCCACCCACGCCAGGCTGCTTTGCAAACTCAAAACACACACACACACACACACACACACACACACACACACACACACAGAGAAAAATTGTAGATTCTGGAGAAATGTTACAGACACACAGAGAGAAATTGTAGGTCCTGGAATGAACGCGTGGGTTGAGTGAGTTGGATCAAGAATCCAAAAAGCTTTGCAAACTTCTCCTGGAATGGCACAGAGAAAGGAGGGCCCCGTTGCTATTCATGGGGTGAAAACAAACAAGAAAAAAAGAGGCGACTGCATGAATGAAATACAACCCAAGCTGCTTTGCAAAGTTTTGAGTCCAACCTCCCAGACACAGGCGTGCAGAGTGGGAACAGGCGGTGCGCTCAGGCCCAAGGCCCGTGCGCCCCCCTCGCCTGGGCGCGTGACCAGCCGCCCCTCATCTCAATGAGGAAAGGACCTCAGAGAGGTGGATGCATTCCAAACGCGCAACTGTGTGGCCCAACTCTGACCAGCCCCTCCACTTCTCAACTCCTTTTCAGGCCCTTTTGGTCACTCGAGGTGCCCCAGGGACAGCCACCACGGGGCTTGGGGCGCACGGGCCCCACCCTGCTTTCCAAGCTCACGCGGGGTGAACCTCGCCCGCCCCGTGTGGGCAGGGCGCACTGCCTGCAGACGCCTCCGGATGGGGGGCCCCCCTCAACCTCTCCCGTCTCTGGTAGCCACAGACTCCGGGGGAAGGGCGCGCAGGTTGGTTGCAGACGCTTTTTAAACGGGCACAAACCTCCCCCAAAATCCACCCCCCCGTGGCTAATGGATTCTGGTGCGGGGCGCACAGCTTGGAGACGGCCCTTAAATGAGCAGATACCGCCCCCCTGCCGTTGCCATCTGATTTTGGGGCGGGGCGCACGGCCTGGAGACAACTCCAGATGGGGTTTCCTGATCTCGCCAGGGTCCATGGCCACAATTGGGCGGCTCCAACTTCTCCAGTTTCCTTGGTCACCAACTTTAGGGGCGGGGCGCACGGGCTTGGAGACGCCCCTTAACTGGGCAGACACCACCCTCCTGTGGCCATCTGATTTTGGGGCAGGGCGCACGGCCTGGAGACGCCCCCAGAAGGAGATTTCCGGACTTCTCCCGTCTCCATGGCCACAATTGGGCGGCTCCAGCCTCTCCAGTTTCCTTGGTCACCAACTTTAGGGGCGGGCGCACGGAGTTGGAGACGCCCCTTAGCTGGGCAGACCTTCCTTCCCGTGGCCCTCTAATTTTGGGGCGGAGCGCACGGCCTACAGGCGCCCCAGATGGGGGTTTCCTGACCTCTCCTGTCTCCATGGCTACAGATGGGCGGCTCCAACCTCTCCAGTCTCCTTGGTCACCAAGTCCAGGGGCGGGGCGCACGGGTTTGGAGACGCCCCTTAACTGGGCGGCCCCAACCTCGCCCGTTTGTGGGGCGGCTGATTCCGGGGCGGGGCGCACGGTCCTTGGAGACACCACCCCCTTTTCAATGGGCGGGCCTCTCCCCCGACCTCTCTCCAGTCTCCGTGGTCACCGACTCCAGGGGCGGGGCGCACGGGTTTGGAGACGCCCCCTTCAATGGGCGTCCCCCGTGCGCCCCGCCCGGCCTCTTCCGCCCCTGAGCGCGCACTGGCCGCTGCGTCCCCGCCTCGCCGGGCATGAACCGAGACCGGGGCGCTCCTGGCCGGGACCCCAGCTCGCCGCCCCCCGCCCGGGACGCGCGCCCC